TACTTTCGAAGGATGGTTTTCTTTTTCTGTTGACTTTTTTATTCTGAAATAAATCTCATTCAGATTCTGTGAATAATTCAAGAAAAAATTCACCTCTACTATTGAAAATGAAAGTAGTTTTCCCGATTCATTTCCATAGGACTGAAGTAAATCTCGCTATAGAAAAGGTGCTGCGGGTGCTGAAGGTGCTGAAAAGGTGCTGAGGTGCTGGGGGTTCCAAACCTGCACTTTCCCCCTTGTAGTGAACATTATCAAACACCATGAATCCAAATGTAAAGTTCGCTGCTCTGTCAACAACGAGCCAAATGATAGAAGCAGAGAATTGAAGTAGAATTTTTTCAAGAAAGGCTTTAAAAAATTTTCATCATTAGGTAAATAATGGGCATCTGAGATCACAATAGAACCGTAACGTTTGTTTATGGCAGAGAAATCATTAACAGGATATGAGTCCTCTCTTCATCCACATACATACCGCTACGTTTTTATCGCCGATAACTCTAAGATTTTAAGCATAATGTCAAACTGTTCTAAAGTCAAGAGGATATACATGAGTATTTTCGAGGATTGTACAATCGTTGCCTAGCAATCAAATATTGTATGTATGTATGAATGACTTTTTATTTACAATAAGCCCATTTTTTTAACTATAATTTCATTCTTTGCCAGTAACTAGAAAGAAAATGAAAACAAGTGAAGGAACAACAACAGTAACAAACACAATAAAAAATAAACTATTTTTAATTTACAGCATTATTTGTTCATTAGACATGGAATCGGAATAAAGACTTTCATCATCAGTAAAGCCACATTTCTTAATTGGTAATTTTCGTTTTTCATCATTGAGACAACTATCTAAATGACTTGCTATAATCATTGTCGATATTTTTCGTACATTACTATTATTATTATTATTATTATTATTATTATTATTATTATTATTATTATTTATTGCTAAGTTACTATTATTCGTTTTGTTTGGAAAATTTTGCAATATTATTGGTTGATTGGATGACAATAATTGTTTTTTTTCTTCACCATCAGGAGGAACTGCTGTTGATAGACTTTCTTTATTGCTAGTAGTATGATTTAACACAAAACTTGCAGTTGCTGGTAATCGTGAAGCAAATTTCATACTATGAACTTGTGCTCTTAAGTGTTTTGTTAAGCGCATGTTTTTTTCTGGATGAAATATTATAATATAAACTTTTGGTGAGAAAAGACAAGCTAATGCTACTGTAGCACATAATGATAGAGTAACACATAATGTAACAATATGTACCTGAAAAACATACACACATGACTTTTTTCTTATTTTTTTTTCAATGTGAATACATTACTTGATGACGTCCTGTTTCATGAGCTGTAAAATAAATTGGAAGAAATGCTAACCTAAAATAAATACACAGCAAAGTTAAAATCCTACTTTGCTCTAGTCTTTCTTTTTTATTACCAAAGTATACATGTTGTATAACAAGTAAATCCAATGAATTTTGTTTCATTAAAATTTTCTGGTACTTTTCTTGTTCGTACAGCATACATCGTACATATAAGTACGAGCAATGCATTATAACTTAATGAAAAAAGAAATGAATATTTATTCATATGACATTTTAGCATCACCAAACGTTCATAGGCTATCATATCAACATATGGATGTTCATAGGCAAGCCATACTAACGAAAGAAGTAATTGCACCATAATTAAACATGAGCAAATGGCTACTTGTGAACGTGGTGATATATATTGTTGACGTAATCTACCTTGTTTTTTTGTACTTTCAAATATTCGCGCAATACGATTTGTTTTTGTTAATAAAGCAGCATACATCATTGAAAAAGCTAAACCAATTCCTAAACGTTGTATAACACACGTGACTATATGTGGTCTCATAATGATAGGAAATGTCATTAAATAACATAAATGAATACCACCCAGCATAATAAAACAAAGTTCTGTACCACTTGCTTTTACGATAGGTGTTTGTCGTTTTCGATAGAATAGAATCACCACATAGAAAGTTAAAATATTACCAATGATTGATAAACTAATTGGAATAAGTGCAATTGCTGATAAGAGTTCCACGGACGTTTCTTTCACTTTATAGCATAATGTACGATTTTGTGTTGGCCAATAGCCAAGAGAACATGGCTCACAACGTTCTTGTTCAGCAGAACCAGTTACAATTGATGTTTCGTTACATGGCGTACATACCCAACAGCATGAATCACCTTGAAATTGATGAACTTCGCCAACTCGACATGGCTCAGAGCAACGAGAAATTGGAATTGTTTTAAATGATGGTAAGACATCATTTGTATTCGTACCTGGCCAAACAATCGAATCGATAGCAAGATTCAATTTACCATTTTGATTCCGATCTATTTTCCATTCACCAACTGTAACATATTCATATGGTGATGTCATTGTTTCGAAGGACGATGATTTTACATATGATCGATGATAATTATATATTCGATAATGACCTGGTACAAAACGTTCAGAATTGAATTGAATTTGTCTTGAATCAGGCACTAGAGTAAAACAAGCAATGTTTGTATAAATTATTCTCTTGAGATTTGAATATCTGTCAAGGGTCTTTTCCTGCGAACAATCATAAATGCAAACTAGTCTGGTTTTTCTTTTCTTTCCTTTCCTTTTGTTATGCTTGCCTATTGATCATTAATTGCTTTATTATCAAAGAGCTACAAGAATAGATTTAGATATTAAACTTACTGGTAAATGTTTTTTCTAGGATTAATTGAAATAATTTTTTTCCATCTATATCTAAATCTAATAAAGATGCATTTGGACATGATAACGATGAACAATTCAAATATTCGTGTAATGCGTGAGCAAATACATATGTAGCATCAACAATAAATTGTAATTTACTATCCCAATTGGTTTCATTTAATTGATAATTTAGACATGTAGATGATGTTGTTAAATTACAGCCGAACCGATTTTCCCAAAATTCATTAAACCACGGATTTCGCGATGAAATTGTTTTCGAATATTTATTAGTTATATTTTTAAAAATGATGCCCGCTGGTAGATCAGGTTTTAACGAGTTAAAATATTTATCGAAATTAGCTGGTTGGATTGAAACAAGTTCTAATGTTAGTGCACCAATAGCTATTTCATCAGTTTCGCCATTGATGACAACGGATGATTCTTTACCCTAAATGTTTATCAAAAAAATTTAAAATAAAGCAATTATTTTTCTTATCTACCCAAGCATCACTTGCAATAAGTACAGGTTGAAATGTACCATTGAATAATTTAATTGCTTGTAACAATTTTCTTGCATCTTCTTTGGTAAGAAATAGTACGTAAACGCGTACTTGTACATCAAATTTAATACGATCGAACATTGTTTGTAGCATCGTTTTAATATCTGGTATTGTTGCATCGCGATATAGACGTTGTTCATCGGCAATACAAATGCGTGTTTGTTTCTTTTGTATGACATTTAATTCGTCATCGGGTGCTGTCAATATTTTAAGTAAACGTCGAAATTCTCGAAAACCACCTTCACCATAATCACCATGAGAATATATTGTATTAACATATGTAAAATTTAAACGTTGTAAGATATCAACAATTGCACGTGCTTGATTTGAATCGGACGGAACAGTACGAGCAAAATATTCAAATGATGGTTCACTTAGTTTCGGCGTGGTTGATGCATAGGATATTTGTGGCAATTGAAATAAACGTAATAGATTAGCAACATGAACACTGACTGAACTCAATGTTGCGCCAACAACACCAAATACATTATCATTGTGGGGCGAATCTGCTGATGATGTATTAGCACATTTACATGAACTTGATGTTAAACGACTAATTACAAATCCAAGAGATTGTTCAACAGCATAATTATCATCCGAACATGTATCCAATACCAGTGCGCCTAATTCAATGCCAGGTAATAAATGGTTATCATCGTTAATTTGTTCGATAGCAAATAGCATAGCTTCTAAACGCTGTATACCACGAAATTCACTAATAGCTCCGCATGGCTCTTGTGGACTTCCATATTCATGTACAGGAAATAGTCCACCTAATGTAACATTGCCTTTTCGGTGTGCCGAACGACTAATCGATGATGTGTCAGCGAATGTCAAGGATATATTATAGAGACAGAGAATAAAAAAACTGATCAAATAATAAAACATCGATCAATTCGTACTAGAAAATACAAGTAATATAATCAACATAACTACTATACTTATATATATATATATCGAATATACATGTATAAGTGTTGGTTTTTTTCTTGCTTAACTTCTGTGACTCTATTCTTGGAACCACTCTTTCTTACTATGTATCGTAGTCTATTAGACAAATACAACGAAAAGAAGAAAGGGGGAGAATTCTCTTCATTGTCGTCTGAAACATTGCTGACGCATCCTCTCTCTCTCTCTCTCTCTCTCTCTATTTTCCTCGTAATTACAGTCTTTTCTCTCTGTCTCTTTCTCTGTCTCTTTCTCTGTTTCCCCCTCTGTTCTCTTACTGTATCGCTTCTGACAACAATAGTAGATTGATTTTATTGCTATTCCTCTTCTTTAGAAAGTATTTTTTTGCACGTGAAGGTAACGCATATGTTGTGTTTCCTACGGAATATTTGAAAATCAATATTGATGTAACAATCTTATCGATTATATAAATGTATTCAGGCGACAAAATAATATGTTCTTATTTTGGTTGATTTTTGTTTTCTTCTTTCAATTTGATGTTTATCAATATTTCAAACACTCAACATCGACTCTATCGTATATTTCTACTCGTATAGAACTTGCCAAGTACTAACGAGTAACTTGTCATTCTACTTAGGGAAAAAAATAACAATTCCCTATCGTCAAAGAAAAAAAGCCATAAGAGCTGAGACATCAGAGAAAAATGAGATAGAGCAATAAAGCCTTATAGAACGAATATGTACACAACGGATGATGATATATAAATGAAAGGAAATCAAAGAAATCTGTATACTGAAAACTAGAAGTATCTATATGTGTATTTACTTACATACGTATATATTTATGACAGACCGAAATTTCCTTTCATTTTCAATATTATACTTACTTATAGTTGGATGAACTTATTTTGCTATGTTTCCTTTGCTCGTATTCCATTTGGCATTGGCTGATTACATTTGGCAGACCGAACATTATTGCATTCTACCGATTGTAGAAATATCTATAGAAAATTTTATTTTCTTCTGCGTATTCTGCGTGTGTTTTCAATCTCGTTCGGGTGTCTTTTCTAGTGTAATATTTATACGAATAATAATAATCTATGATATAAGAAAACATTCGAGAGAAATATATAAGATCTCTAACTACCCTTAGCATTCGGTGCTGTTTTCTCGCCGACAACCATTTTTGTCTCTTCTTAATTTCTAATAATATCTTTGGTCTTTGAAAAAAAAGCCAAAGAGCGAGGACACGTGTAGTGGGTAATGCTAACGGCAAAAAAAAACATAAATAGGAAATATACTATATGACGTAAATTGTATCTAGTGTCATTTATTAATCTATATAAATGAGAAATAATTTTTTTATGGACTCGTACCTATTGTATGAATTACCAAATAATTTCTACTCTTTAGTTTCAATCAATGAATGAATGAAGTCAAACGATAAATTGTCTAAAATGAGTTTGTAGCATGTTGAATAGATTCTAAATAATTATAATGTTTTTCAAAGTATATACAGCAAGACACAAACAAGAAGGTAATGAAGCTGAATGCCGATGGAATTCTTTTCCCCCATAAAAGTCACATCACACATAGAACAAAAGCACACGCACTGGTATACTCGTTTTCTCGGCATCTCAATCGTATACATATGCTTACTGATTATGATGTATCATTCGTGCGAATAAGATTGAACAGATCGACATCGATTATACGTGCTTTATTTGAAATTTGCTTGTTTGATTAAAAAGTTCTCCTATTCGTTTTGCTTCCTTTCTTGTTCCATAGAAGTAACATGCGTGAGTCTTTTCTATTCTTTCACACGTTGTGCATCCATGCAAAATTGAAGAAGATAGACGCTTGGAAGAAATATAAAAAATTGAACAAATTACTAACGAAGTCGTGCGTCAAAGGTGCACTCTTTTTTTCTTATCATGCTTGGCTACTATCATTACAGATCGATTACTCAAATAAACAAATATTCATCTGACCGGATAATTTACTTCATCATGCTGAAAACATAAAAATAGCTTAATAAAATCTTCTTATTTTCATTTATTGATGTTTTACCTACCAAAATCCGAGCGATCCTTTTATGATTCATTAGCATGCTTCTTAAACGGCTAATGTATCTGTTTATTAGAAATCATGAAGTGTTTTTTTTTCTTTGTTTTTTTCTTCGCCTTTACTGAGCCGCAAAGTTTGTGAACAAATTGATGATAATGAAATGTATTTAATGATCGTTTCGACTTATCGATCATCGAAAACATAATTTGAAAATCGTTCATAGCCAACGGCATTTCACCTAAGGTTGTGAGATTTTGGATTAAGTCTTGTTTAGAAATAGAACCTTGTTGTTCACTATCAAATATTTCGAATGATTTTATTAATAAAAGTGCTATATCATCATCTGTTAATTCTTCCCAATGAGGTGCCAGAATAGATTCAATTTCGTCAAGAAAATATTCATCGGTATGATAAGTTTCTTCTAGGGTATTTTTTATTTTTTCTATCGTAGTTTTTGTCATATTTTGTCCAGCTAAATGAAGTGTTTGTTCCAAATTAGATAATTCTTAAGAAGAGAAAAAAAACGATTTGCATAAATTGTTCCCAACTTCAACAAAAATATCTTTCTCGTATTGCCATATGGATGGCTTTCTATATTACGCTGTTCGTCTTGGAAATTATGCATATGGACCAGCTATCGAAGGGAAAATATTTACCATACAAATAATGATAAATGCGTACTTTGTCATCGCATGTCAGTGACATATAAACATTAGTTAATAATAGTCATCTTCGTGAATGGCACTCTTTTGTTTCATTCAAGACGGATGTTTCGTGATAGTTTTTGCAAATGTTAATTACTACATATGGCAAATATGGAAATTTTTACGTTGAAAACAAAACATTCTAATCAATAGGACAACAAACAAAGTTTTATTCTACTTAATTTTAGTTATACAAAAAAAAAGAATACTTGCTGGTAGGGTCCCTGGAGAGCTTAAGTACAGGATTCATTCAAAATATTAGATAATTTACCATAAAATGTTCTAGTTTTCTTTCTATGAATGAGATGTACTCAACAATTGTAAACAAGTGAAATGAAATAAGTCAGGGTCTATGCACAATGATCAACATTATAGATGTAATATCAAACTACGTTTTTCTATAAAACTATTTTCCGTATGACTAAACTTTTATGGACTTCCTAGTGCATAAAAACGAAATGGAATCTTGATTAGTTTATGATAAAGAATTCATTTTCTTTGTCATCATATGCCAAACGGCACAATGAGCTATGAGATAAATTGCTAATTAACTTTCTAATTCATTGAAAAAGTAGCTCATTGATACTGAAGGACGTTTCCTTATTAACAATAGTTTGTACTTTTTCTTTTTAGGATCTTAAAATTACAATGAACGTCATTTGCCATGTCCATGTTGTGCCCGTATTTTGAGCGTTCGGTGGACTTCAATGATAGATTTATACTGAAGGCTGCTGCAAAAATGGATTTCATACTAGTTGACCGCTGCAGCTATAGTCGTGGAGAAAGTTTCTAATAAAAGAATTTTATTCTATGAACAGTTTTAACGGTTATGAGATGATCTTTGTGACAGCTATAAATTAATTTCGGACAAACTCTAGCAAAGGAAAGAGCAAACAATACTAGAAGCAATTCTTCACTGAAAATTATTTATCGAAAGCAAAATAGTACATCACGTCAATTGTCTCGATCTCTATGGAAAATAGACTCGCAAATTTTATCTATTCTCTAGTCTTAGGAGAATAATCTTGTTAATAGTAATCTAATACGTATATTAAACACGATAATAACTTTTTTACTCTAAGGCTTAGCGAAATTTTGAATTCACACTATATGAAGTTTTGATAAAGAAATACAACCTGAAAAATGACTCGACAATCCGTTATGATTGACTCTAGTGTATCATTAAATGTAAGATAATAACTAAACTTAGCGTAATTCAATACATTTGCAATTGAAATCGTATTAAAAACAAGATACTTTTCCGTAGAGTATTTTTCAGATTTGATTAAAAACAAAATAAAAATGAATATTTCTCACTGATGATCAATTCTCCGGCAGCCTTTGTCTTAATAACACTTCGAAGTTTTTCCATGGCAACATCGGATAAATGTTGTTTATCAAGTAAATCGTCTTTATCCTCGAGATCGTTCTCATTGCTTCGAACCGATACATGTCTATCATTATAATACATTAGTTTACAACACAAAAAACAACAACAGAAAACAACGAATACAAAAAAAGGCGCAACATACCTTTGTTTTCATTTTAAATATAAACCAATAAAATTTATTTATATGACTTTTGTTTGAACGCGTAAGTATTGCAGTACGCAAAAAAAAAGTAAGAAATTCACTGATACTGACAACAATAAAAAAAAGATAAAAACAAAAGGCGAATTCAAATGGAATGTTTCGATTTCACGTTTAACGTAAAATGTAAACTTAAAGAATAAAAGGTATCAGCGCACACCGACCCAATGGATATAATTCGCGATAATATCGACGGTACCATTGGTGATTTAACAAAGCTGATAGAGATTGATGAACAAATACCCATATGAATAATGCTGCCATCGCTGATGTTCGATGACTTGCAATTAAAAATGAGCAATAAATAAATATTTCAGCTATATAATTCGGACAAGAGAGATAATCAAAGATCCAATGGCCATATGGAATGGGATAAATTTCATTTTGAGAACGTTTGAGATTCGCTAATACAAAGTGAACATTATATTGTATATAACTGGTAGAAGAAAACAAAATGAGAGCTGCAAAATAGTTTATAAAAGTTATATTTGTATATGAGTATTGATAATCAATAATTATTGTTAAGCCGAAACATGGATAATGAATTGATCCACAAAAATAATATAGAAAATTCATTTTGGAATTAAATTTATGCACATAGAAACATTCATATAAACGACGGTATATATGAAGAATCAATGGAATAAAAAGCAGAAAATATGATAAATGGCTGATGAATAAAACAATATTTATTATCAAACCAATTATATAGAAATGTATATAATACGATTTTGGTATGTAGCCTTGACCTGTTAATTTACCATGAAGATATAAATGTTGAATGATAAAGTTAATAAACGGAAGATTTATTTTCGTATCGATTAATAACCAAATACCTAATAGAAGCGTTCCGGCTGCTAGAGACAACCAAAAGAACGTGAAGCATAAATTGAGATTCCATTCAAACATATTTATCTAAAATTTATTTATTTTATTATATTATAAAATAATTCTATTTTGTCATTGGGTTCAAATTATTACAACAAACAAGGAAAAAAGTGATCTGTTCGGTTTTTTAAAATAAATATTACACAACAGTTTCTTCGTCTTTAGTCAGTTCATCAATAAATGGTATACTTGGATATAAAAGCGAGTGTTCATGACTGTTCATCGGTTCGTCAATATTTAATTTTACACTATGAAACAATGATTCTAGATTTATAAATGCATCGGGAGTAGAATATGCAATATTTGTAAATTCATCAATATAGCGAATGTAACGTCGACGAGCAATAATTAAACGAATTACCATTGGAAAAAAACCACATAATATTATTGATGAAAATATCATTATTAGTGCTAGAATGAGCCAATTATCCACTGGCATTACTGTTTGAATGATAATTTATTAAGATGACGAATAATAGATTCAGATTGAGCACCATTGAGATAGAACCTTAGAAAACAAATATTCATATTTGATTTTAAAATAAAACAACTAATGGATACAACATTTTTTTTAAATAAAAGTTAATTTAATGGGGGGG